TGTCTCTCTTTAAATACACATTTAAAAAAATTGTTTTAACTATAAAAAACAAAATACAAAAAACGATGCTTTGTTTTACCTCACAGTAAATTTGTGATTAACTATATGATTTTCAACACACACAACTGTGTGAACAAATAGAACACTTTATATACACATTTACTATTATCAAATACTTCACTATAGATGCAAATCTATATAAATATACTGATGCTAAAATAAACCTCAAAATACGACTTATCTAAAAATACAAAAATAGAAGTCAAATTTCTAGACGCTACAAGCCACAATTTTAGTCAAAAGCTTGGTTAAGGTTAGTTACATCAAAATTCCCACACTGAACAACACCAACAGCAACAAAAAATTGACTTTAACAAACATTCAGATGGACCAAAACATGGATGCTATTCTAGTGAGAAATAAATTGGGGAGTACAAAATGCACTTGTGAGACATGCCATAAAACAAGAAATGTTTTATAGAGTCTTAAAATACCTATACAAGAAAATGCTTTCATCAGAAGGTAATTTGTTGAGCAGCAATGATTGGAATTCAAGTGAAAAAGCAGCTGGGGAAGGACGATTTACAGAATGAAAACTTCCAACCTTCATCTTGGAAATGGACAACTGGTATGGCTAGATGAACATTCAACTACCAGAATTAACAAAGAACAAAACTAAACAGTAACCAACCAATCATTTTGAAACTATTGCTTTGAGTTTTTATTTTTACTTATCCTTTGGGCATGTCTAGAAATCTACTATTTTAGTATTATGTTTTATGTTTTTCCCACACTCTCTAGAAGAATACACTGTGTGGTTAGTGCAGCACTATAAGAGAACATGTCCACCTTCGACTGTGTGGTTGGACACTCTTCATCAGGCCACAATCAGATTCGGGTAGGCTGAATTTTATAAACCCTAGGCTATCCTGGCTAAAAGAGCACTAATGAAGCTAACATCCACTACAGTACTCAGCATGAGTAACTCATGAATCAGAGGTGCCAAGTGGCCACGCCCCAGAGCGAAGTCAGACTTAAAGGCAAAAAGAGAACTGGGTTTAAATTGTGCATCTTGTTCTTACTGTGTGACCAAGAGAAAAGTACTAAATCTAAACCTCTGTTTAACTCATCTCCAAAAGGGGAGGAATATTATCTCTATTATAGCATTATAGTTAAAAAAAAAAAAAAAAAAGAGGTAATGTATTTAAATGTTATAAGTGCCATCTATTCCAAACCCTGGTTTTCAACTTTGACATAAAAGTAATACATGTGATTTTATATCATCTTTTATATCATCTTTGAGAAAATATATATATAATATAGGGACTGATACATGGGGGTCTCAGTATGTACCTGTCAGAAGCAGGTAAAGTGGTATGGTTGGAGAAAAAGGCCACTTGTCCCCATCATTTAAATATTTTCGACTCGAAGGAACAAAACCTTGCCATAGCCTACAACATACAAGTCCATTCAGTTAAACTCAGTGTTACAGGCTACATAAGAAAAAAGAAGAGACATCCTCTCATCTTCACAGAGTCAATCTAAAAGCGTATGACACCAAGTAATGGTCAATGCTGAAATCCAAGATTTCCTTAAAATAGCAAATTTAATCATGGTTTTCCTATATAAATTTGGTGGTAAAATAAGACCTGAATTTGGACTAGACGCTTCATACTCTTCACTCCTGTACTAGATATAAACATTCTTGCATCCTAATTTCCATTATGTGGCAAGGTCCTTAATCTCCACTACTGATGTGACTTGTTGGGTGCTGCATGAACTTCTGAAAAAAAATCAGTATTCCAAATTTCAAAACACATGCAGTCCAAGAATTTCAGAGAAGACAGTTTGAACAATCTCTGCATAAGCAAAAAAAGAGGCAACAGCTGCATTAAGAGATAAACTACTGAAGATAGAAACTTATAGTTTAAGAATTTATTTTCTGTCTTAAAGCAGTACTTGCTTAGAACCCTTGATTATTTATTCCAATATGGACACAGTGACACAACTTACATCATTAAGTTCTTGGAGAACCAAGAGATGATACCCATGAAATGCTTTAAACATTGTCTGACACAAAGTTAGTACCCAATAAATGCCATGTTATAGTAGGGTCTAGAAAAATATTTTGACCATTTACTAGGAAAAGGCAAAGAGATGAGTATGTAGCTCACTCTACTATATATCATATTTTATTTTAAAAAATCCAAGGGTATTCGTTGGCCTATGTCACACATGTTTGTTTCTCCTATCAGGCCTCAGAACTAGAATTAGTGCAAGTCACAAAGGTACGTAGCCATTTCAGGTATGCAAACAAGTATTTAGAGCTGATAAAGTACAGTAAGACTTCAGCTCTTAATGCAGTAATATTATCTGAAAAGAAATGATCTATGAAAGACTCAAGAGCAGCCTAGAGGAATGTTTCCAGAATTTAACATACAAACTAATGATCCAGAGTTTTTGTTAAAATTCATATTCTGATTTAATGTGGTGGGATCACACATTCTGCATTCGAGTTTTCAGGTAACCTCAACTCTGTTGATCTAGAAGCCCACACTGAGAGTAGAGGAGGCCCCAGAGCAGTGGCCCTCCCAGTATATCCACAATATCACAATCTCCTGGGAAGATAGAAATGCAAACCCTAGAGCATAAGGAAAACCTTGGAGATCATTGATGAGCTCTTTCCATCCAGTCATATTAGTTACTCTGAGAATAAAAGACTACTTTTTTAAAAAATACTTTACAAATAAAATAAGGGCACCTGGGTGGCTCCAACAGTTAAGTGTCCGACTTCAACCCAGGTCATGATCTGACAGTTCATGGGTTTGAGCCCCATATCAAGCTCTGTGCTGACAGCTTTGGATTCTGTGTCTCCCTCTCTTTCTACCCCTCCCCCATTCATCCTGTGTCCCTCTCAAAAATAAACATTAAATTTTTTAATGAAAATAAAAATAAAAATAGCACACTAAAACATGTTGTGTAAATAAGAAAAGCAATTTATCTCTATACAATTTCCAAAAGTATAATCCCTACAATTATACTTCAAATGTAGACTTTTATAAGAATCCTGATCTGATAAACACTAGGCAAATATAATTTGTAGAATCCTCAGTAGGACCACTTATCAACTACTCACAAAGTAAGTCATGTCCATTTTACCTAGGTAACAAAGGTATGATTGTGTAAGGAAACCAGACTAGTTTTCTATTTCCACGTGCTGAGAGCATAAGTAACCACATCATGGTTTAGCCAACTTGTCCACAGTAATGTTTACATAATGCCTGCTTATTGTGTAAATACATGTGGACATTTTGATTTACAGCTATAGATGATCTGTTTGCATACACAGATACACAGATGTATAAATAATGGTACATTAATGGTTTGAAACACAATATTCTTGAAGGACAAAAACCTTAAGGGTAAATTACAAACATACAATGTCATGACCAGAGAAAAGATTTCAGTTTTGTGAATGGGAAGCCAATTGATAATTCAAAATTTGGGGAAAACCTACTTAACATAACGGATGCATTGAGAATTCAGATTCTGCATTTTTTTTTTCAACTTCCAAGCATGAATACAGATATTCAGCTCTCAGTCAAAACCTAAGCACACAGGTCAATCCTTTATTTCAAAGGAGTCAGTAACAGACTGTAAAGCACCACACCTGCTTCAGGATTAGCAGTGTAATTTTTGCTAGGACCACAGATTTTTTAATTTGTTTTAACATTTATTCATTTTTGAGAGATAGAGCGTGTGGGGGGGAGGAGGCAGAGAGAGAGACAGAGACAGAGAGGGAGACACAGAATCTGAAGCAGGCTCCAGGCTCTGAGCTGTGAGTACAGAGCCCAATGCAGGACTTGAACTATGAGATCATAACCTAAGCTGAGGTTGGACACCTAACTGACCCAGCCACTCAGGCGCCCCTTAGGACAACGGTTTTCTAACAGTGATTCTCTCAAGATACATCTTAGATGTTGCATCCAGGGGAAGAGTACCTCAGGTGTCTAGTGAATACAGGCCAGACATGCTGTTCAACAACCTACCATGGATCAAACAGTCTCCACCACAAAGAATTACCTGACCTCAAATACCAAGGGTGCTAGGGTTAAGAAACGCTGATTTAAGTGACAGAGGCTGCCAAGATACACACTCAACGTCCTTGGTGCATCATCATTGCATTCCTAGCACGGTGTTCAGCACAACAACAATTATTTGTTGATAATCAAATAAACTACCTTGGTGTAGATGGGAGACGAAAAACAATGATAAAGGGGTTATTACACGTGTAGTATCTAAATTCCAAAACAAAATCACAATTATTGTCAAAACTGAAAAGAAATTTAACAAATCATCTAGCTTTACTTCTCTAGTTGGGGGAAAAATAGCTTCATACGAACATGATATACAGTGTACTAGTGTGGCAGTGTTCTAAGGGGCGCAGTGGAAGCTGGCCTCTTTGTAAAAGTAAGTATCCTAAGTTAATTAAAGTCAGTTTTTACTTCTAATAGTATAAGGATCCCATCCTTTTCTTTTAATTTTTTTTAACGTTTATTTATTTTTGAGAGACAGACAGACAGAATATGAGCAGGGGAGGGGCAGAGAGAAAGGGAGACAGAGAATCCGAAGCAGGCTGCAGGCTCTGAGGTGTCAGCACAGAGCCCAACGCGGGGCCCGAACTCACAAACCGCAAGATCATGACCTGGGCCAAAGTTGGATGCTTAACCTACTGAGCCACCCAAGCGCCCCAGGGTCCCATCCTTTTCTAAGTATTTCCTCTATAAAAATTAAAACTAATGTGACATAAATAATAAGTGATATTTCACAAGCAGGAAACACAAAATGTAATTGTTTTCCAAAAACACCAAATCACAGACCTCTGTGGCCTACAGGCATTTATACTTCTGAGAATTCTGGGATTTAAAATGTCATGAGAAATTCTAAACTGGCTTACATTTTTGAAACACAGGAACTGACAGTCACAAGGCCAAACATACCCTTAATAATCGATTCAGCTGCATACAGATCTCGTTTGTAGGTCACCTAAAGGACCAAAAAA